GTGTTTTACAGATGAAATGCTCCTTTCTCCAAGTCTATAAACACTGTTGACACTCAGATTAACCAATCAAAATGTTAGTCCCTGTACATCAAGGAGAATTTTGAAGAAATTAGTTATGACAAAAAACTTTAGAAGAATGAAATAAAAATACCCTTAGGGTTTTTTTTTTCAGAAGTGCATTTTTCTTTTTTCTTTTTTTTCTTCTGAAATTTCTATTAACTAAAAGTGTTCTTTGCTTGCGTCAGCAATGGAACAAATTTTACACCACAGTGTTGTTATTTCTCTTTATTTATCAAACTTACATGTATTGCTGGTCAGATTGACCTTGTTCAGAGGAAAGTTTCAGAAAAAAGTTGTCCTGCTTCCTAAAGTTTTCCTTAGCTTTGCGAAATGTAATGACTGCAAACAGAGCAGGTTACAGTACACAGACTGTAACCTGCTCTGCAGCATCCAACACACTCCGTCTCACAGGTGGCAAACGTGATCTAAATGTGATCTTTTTCCCCATAAGGTACTCACATCAGACTTTTTCACTCCAATCTGAGCAGCCCAATTTCAATCAGTTAAATACAGAGTCTACTTCTGTGCAGACTTGCTGAAATTTTGCAGGGGATGTAATGACAAACTAGCTACAACAGCGCACATGTGGTTGTCATAGCAATAACAGCTTTCCTTTTCCGTCCGAGGGAAGAGGCCGTCCCATTGTTGTTTATACCCTCCCCCTACAATCCAGGCGCCCTCCACAGCTGTGAGTGTGACTTCATTGGGAGTGACACTTGATAGTTATGGGTTAGTGCTTAGGGGGCATTTTGGGATTCAGCCAGACTGATAGGCAGCATCCTGCTCCAGAGCGGAGGGAAGGTTGCGTTCAAGAGCAGGCTTAACAGCTGATTAATGAACAACAACCTCATGAAATCAAGTGCTTTTTAACACACATTTAATGCAGTTCAATGAATACATGTATGAAGTTTAACAATGCATATTTGACCAGTTATTTTATTAATTTTACAGGGGAGGTTTAGCCTCCCTGGTAATCAAAGAAAAATCTGCACATCTTTGAACAGTGCGCTGCTTTGTAATGTCTACAGTCACTTTGGTGCCCTGAACTGGGTCTAATAGCAGTCAAATTTAATTGCAGTTTAAAGCGCAACACACAAAAAATTAAAGAAAGAAAAAAAATCTAAATTGAGCATAAGTGTTCTGCTGTATGAACGTCGCCCCAGTTTGAACTTAATTCAACATAATAGGGGAATTAAATATTTCATAAAAAGGCAAGTTAAAAAATAGGCCAGATAATTGCAAAGCTTGCAAACTAACAGGGTTTTGTTTCTTTTTTGTGGCTCACATAAAACCACACACAAACAGAAGACATGAGAAGATTAGTTTTGACATTAACAATCCATTGATCAGGAGATTTTTTTGGTACCTGAGAGAATTGGACTAAATGATGATATACTTGTCTGGGCTGTTGGACATCTAAGACAGTAAGACCTGCTGGTTCGTCCAGAATGATGACATGAAAGTGTCAGCTTCCAGCTCACAGGGTTTTTTTAAGACCAGTGCCAGATCTTATATTGGACTGTCAAATGGAAGGGGGGTGTTGCTCTTTAAAGTGGCTCTTCATCTAACTCTTTATCTTGGATTTCTCACCCAATTATATTTAAATAAAAAGCTAAACACCTTTTTTTTTTTTCTCTTCTCCGGCAGGGAATCCTAACCTACTTTGCCCTGGGCCGCTTCCGTAGGGGTGTCGATGAAATCAGCATTCCTACCTACACAGAGGCGCCCTCGGATCTCCACACCCCCTACCCCCCCACCTACGCTCCTACCTCCTACAACCCCACCACATATACCCCCACCACCTACACCTACCCCAGCAACATTCCAGAAGCGCAGAAGCAGCCCCCATTCACCTCAAACCTCCCGCCGCAGGGAGACACCAGTTACCTGCCGCCCAAATACTGACACAGCAGGCGGAGTTCTCGTGGATGATGCAGCGATCCAGATCATCTGCAAGCCAACAGCCTATAGCTGCAATGCACAGACATGGAGCTCTATCATATTGATGTGGTTTTACATTCAATTTAACACACTGTTCAAAGTGTCTGGGAGGATCTGAACCAACGCGTTGGAAACAAGGAGCAGAACTGTTTACGTCAACAGATCTAAGATCAGATCTGAAGACACTGAAGAGGCTTGAGCAATGTGACCTTTGTGCAAAAGCAACGTTTACCTCCGCTGGGCTGAGCGTGTGAGGGAAAGGTAGGGTAGCAGTGAATCCTGAAGAGAAACAATTGGTGTGGAAAAGGCCAACATGTTTTCTCCTCGTTATAAAGACAATATGGTTATGTGCCAACTTATTTTGTTTTTTGTGGATCCTTTTTCTTTAAATTACTCAAAAAGCTTTAGTGATATCATATACCAAATGGGTGATAAGGTTTGTAGAGAAAATGTTTAATTATTTTTCATAATCATGGATTCTGTATAAGACAAATACTGCGAGAAGTCATTATGTGTTTGTCAAAATGAATTAAAGCCTTGAAGATGGAGCATTTCCACCGGTCTGACCATACATATGAGTTGGTTACAAAAAAGGTTTACATGTATTAAACTGACCTTTAAACTTGCAGCTAACTTTCTGATAGAGAGGGAGGAGCTCTGAGATAACGCAGCACTTATTTAACTGGTCCGTCCACTGAGCGCTTTCTTCCCCCACAGCCAGACGCCATCTTTCCTTGGTTTAACACTGACATTTTCAGTTTACAATGGTACAGTTACAGCTCTCTGAGTGTGAATCTCTCTGGTTTTCTTAAGAAAGACTTGTAGAACATGTGTTTGGTGTCTGGTGGTGAACAGGTTTGTCAGCTCTGTCTGCGGCAGATCAGGCAACGCTAGATCAGTTTTGGTTTGTTGTGTAAGCTGAAGTCTAACCTAAGAATAGCGTGTGGTAATTTTCTCAAGTCATCTGTGCAAACACATGTAGATCTGTAGATAGATGTTTGTACTTTTCATGCAAAATTCAAATGTAATCGGAACAAAATACTGTAGACTATATTGCAACTTCATTTTGGCATTTAAGACAAAAGACACAGGAAGGATTATCTATAAAATAAAATTAGCTACAGCACCCTGCAAACGTTTTCATCTCTCAGGTTAAAATACCCCAGTTTTTAGTCATAACGTAAGATTTAAAAGAAAAATTACTTTTTACATTTACTGTAAAAACAAAGTAATGTTATTTACTAAGGAAGACGTGAACAGTCGTATCTGTTCCTCTTTCAGATGGCAGCCTTTCATTAGGAAAATAACTGGTAGCAGCAAAAATGTGTACTTTCTGCTGAACTGGAAAGATCATAACTTTGAAACTGGTTTAGGAACCAAAGTAGAGTGAGTTGAAAATGTGGTTGTATTCTATGGTAATGAGGTTAAACAGCTGTGCATTACAGTTGCATTTCATGTCACATCCTGAAAGTGTTTCCATGAAGTTGAACTGTGACATTTAAAGCAGCTTTTGATTACTCATTTTGAACGACCACCCCTGAATGTGCATGAATCATGTTGGCCTAAAAGTGATGATGCTGAGGGTTTGTAATTTTCTGCATAATTAAAGCAAATGGTTCTGTGATCTCAGAAATATATGAATGTTGTGCATCTTGTGTGATTCATGGTTTAAAATAAAAAAATGTATTGAGGATTTAGCAGTAATGTTTGTTTCCTCTGTTAAATGTTTAACCTCTAAACACACAGCACACAGGTGAATAAATCGATTGATGGGATTCATTTGCTTTTACTGGTAATAAAATGCATGGTTGTAACTAGTAGGGAATTACATCAAGGTTTTATTTGATATTTCCTTAAGAGCTGCAGAAATGTTACAAACTATTCCTGCAGTTTAAAATCATTTTAGTCAGATGCCAAACACAGTATGTCATGTTTGCAAATGCTGATTCTTCAGTGGCACATGTGCTATAGTTCTCTTAAGACAAATTGCCAGGTTTGTCTTATCTGACACCATTTTAAAGCATTAATTAAAATCTTCACTCATACTTTAGGAAATACTTCTAGACAAGTCCTTAAAGGAATAGTACACCCAAAACATGATTAGCCTTCATTTTCTACTCACCCCCATGCTGAACAACACTCTGGAGTACTTTTTTGATATCTCAAATGCATCTGGAGATCTGGGAGGCTTCTTGCTGTCTGCTGACATTCAAATAATGGAGGTCTATGGTGCCCGAGACAGGTCCATAAAAGTCCACAAAAAACGTGTCAATATTCCTCCATACTGCTCGTCCAATGTATTCCAAGTGTCCTGAGTGGGTAGCATCCAGAATTTACTCGAAACGAAGACATTTAGAATGTTTTTAGAGCATAAACAGTAGTGTATAGGATTTCCTGAAAGCGCGCGCCTGCGCGTTCACGACGCTACGGAAGCCGGCCGACCAAACCAGATGAAAGTGCGCATTCAGCGTCTGCTCTGCCGATAATGCAAGCGTAGAAGAAATGTGCTGTTTACCTGTGCAAAGAAAGAAACAACGAAAGAAAAATGTCTGAGGACTTCAGTGTTGAGGAAGAGCATGAGTTCTTCGCCGAGCTGAATGCGCACTTTCATCTGGTTTGGTCTGCCGCGGTTTCCGTAGACTCGTGAACGCGCTTTTAGGAAATCCTATACACTACTGTTTACGCTCCAAAAACATTCTAAATGACTTCGGTTCGAGTAAATTCTGGATGCTACCCACTCAGGACACTTGGAATACATTGGACGAGCAGTATGGAGGAATATTGACACGTTTTTTGTGGACTTTTATGGACCTCCATTATTTGAATGTCAGCAGACAGCAAGAAGCCTCCCAGATCTCCAGATGCATTTGAGATATCAAAAAAGTACTCCAGAGTGTTGTTCAGCATGGGGGTGAGTAGAAAATGAAGGCTAATCATGTTTTGGGTGTACTATTCCTTTAAATGGAAACCACAAAATAAAACTAAAATGCAAAAGAATGTTACTTTTCAATGCTTCATACCCACCCCTCTTTTAATTGTATTTTAAATTATAAATTCCAAACATGACAGCATGTATTTTATAGGACAGGGCTTCAAATGCAGAAACTATGAGGCAGATCTCTACAGCTTAAAGGCAATTGGACAAAAAAAAAAGTCTGGAAATCAACATTTTTGCAGACATACAAAGTACTCCAAACAAGTTCCAACCTACATTAGACTGCTCAGTCAGCATCTCCCTGCAGTAATGGCTCTTCAAGATTTAAGCAGATTATTCTATTTACTTTGCTGTGGTGGAGAGGTGAAAATAAAAGTAAAACATCCAAGAGTTTTCTACTGTCAGAGATGCCTAAAGACGTAACAGAACAAGTTAGTTCTTTTATTATACTGACCTGAAACAAAATGAACAATGTCAAAACTAAACACAAAGGTATCCGTATTACCACTTCTAAAACAGTAAGTTGGTAATATTTTTTACATTTAAAGCAATTAATAAGTGCTCCGTGTCTTTCAAGTATACATTTTATATTACATCCACATCCCTGTAAAAATTCATAGCAAAAACTAAAGCAAACATCACACATAAAACAGCTAGATGCTACCTACACACAATATGTGAAAACAAATGTTTCAAACTGATTATCAAGTCTTGTTTTTCCTCGTTAGAGTTGCAGAGAGGAGAAGAGTTTCCGGGGAACGTTTGAGCCAGCGTGTTTTGCCATCAGGACGTGTTGTGGAGTTTCATTCCTGAAAGAGGAACTGTTCTCTTTGTCAGCCACCAGACCTCCATAACACTTTCTGCAAACCGCCTGGTACTTATCCGCACCTCCGATTACCTCTACCTGTAGAGGAAACAAAAATCCAGTGGAGTTTGATGATTCAATTTAATAGCTATGCACCAAAACTATGCAAAAATCATTCAAATGTTGGCTAGTAGATGAACATTAGGGTTTCTTTAAATCATGTTCATCATGATTTGACAGCTCCACACAAATATATGTATAGTTATTTTTTATTTATTTTTTTATGCTTGACGCCAGAACAGCCATAGAAATCTACCCTGTTGGAATAATTATGCATAAGATACTTAATATTTGTTCTTATGATGTATAATGTGTGACAAATTATTGTTCCAGAGAGGTGTTGCACAAGCAGTATAGGTCAACCCTCAGGAAGTATTGCTCAAGCTTAACGAAACCAGGAGGTTCTCGGACCATTTGACCACAAGACATTTAAATGCAAATTGACCTGTTCACTGAGGCTGCAAATTGAATTGTATTTCTTGTTTCCTATTCCTTTAGCGCCGCGGTTCTCAAAGTGTGTGGCGCGACCCACTGGTGGGGAATTGAGACGTGACAGGTGGGGCGCGCCAAGTTCCGGTGTGTGTGTGTGTGTGTGTGTGACTATAACGTGTGAGAGCAAACTGTCCTTATAGCTGTATGTTGCCGCTTTTTAGACTAATCAAACCCACAAAGTAATCATTACTAGCCTACATGCAGTCTAATTAAAAGAACATTAGATATGAGAAAAATTTCACCTGGAACTGAAGTGCCAAAATGATGATTGACGTGACGTCGGCATATTATTTGTAACGGAATAAACTTTCGCGCCCCAGTGTTGCCAACTCAGCGACTTTGTCGCCATATTTCAGACCCCTCCAGCGACTCTTTTTCAAAAAAGCGACTAGCGACAAATCTAGCGACTTTTGGAGAACATAGTCCGTCAGCGCTCCGCTCCGCTCCAGACCGCCTGCACAAAGCAAAGCCTACAGCCGCCGCTGTCCCCTCCGCTCCGCTCTGAGTTCCTTGGAGATCGTAGAGGGCATGCGCCAGATGAACCAGGGTTTCCGCGGATCATTAAAAATAATTACAATTCATAATTCTTTTTTTAATCAAGCCCTTAATTGGCACTAAAATTAATTAAATATGTTTATCGTTGCATTTATGATTCTTTAATAAAAATGCTTCTAAAAACAATTTCGTCAGATATATTATATCGCTATTAATTTGCGTGGAACTGTTTATAAAGCCGTATGTTCGGAAAGGAAGCTCGAGGCGGAGAAAAAGCTAGAGAATATATATACGTATATATATGTGTGTGTGTGTGTTTTTACATACATACAGGAGTCATGGAACTGTGCTTACAGCTCCATATTTCATGTACACTAATAACTTGTGTACATGGTTCTTGTTGATGGCATTAAAATCATTTCAAATAGCATTAAAATAGCATTAAATTAGAGTCACTCATTCCTGTATGAACCCTGTGAGTGCTTAATTTAATATGACATATTAAAAAAATCCCACCATCATCCAGCATATGTTCAGTTTCTGCCCAAATATATATATATATATATATATATATATATATATATATATATATATATATTTTTTTTTTGTAGATTTTTGTAACAGAGATAAGGATAATTCAAAACTGCTTTTTTTTTTTTAATGAACTTGTTCTCTACAACTCAGCATCTCTTTTCATTCATGTAATAAGAAGTTTCTTTTGAATGGATTTGATTAAACTTTAAGTCCCTCGGTATAAAATAAATATTTTAATGGAGATGAGAAATCTGCTTCCTGGTTGGTGAATAACCAATAGTTTGGATCCAATCATTTAAATAAACGGTGTTATTCTTTTTATTTATTTTTTAGATATTTATAAGAATTGTGCTATAATTTCTAGTCACCGATCTGTTGCTACTATATTTTAATTTGACGAACCGGAATTTGTCGAGGTTCTTTTTCCTGTTTGGTGCGATTGCAATTGCGGATCTTGACCTGGCCGGACCGGAGCGGAGCAAAAAATAGCTCGGCTCCGTAATTTGTCGGTGACGGACGGAGAAGACATACGTGGACGGAGACGTGCGGAGGAGTAGCGGTGGATGTGGAACAGCGCTCATTGATTTCCATGAAAGACAAGCGCTCCGCACGACGTACGTCAGCGGGGCGGAGCGGAGCGGAGCGCTGACGGAGTATGTGGAATCTGGGGGTTACGGGAAAGCACGTATCGTTCCTTTTCTTGTCCTGCTGCCGTGGGGCGCCTCCTCCCTCCCAACCCCGTTCTCCCCCGCTATCGCAGGAGTCCCTCTCAGCGCTGCAGTCAGAGACACAGCATGTTTACCCTCAGCGTCCAGACTGCAAATGAAGCGCACATGCGCCGGGATTGACGGCGCAGGTTGATCATAAATAACTGAATTTGAAATATTTTATCTTAAATAAATAACGGCGTTTGATTCACACAGCCACATGTTCATGTTTCTAGTTTGGAGTGGAGAGGGAGTATCCACTCATCGGGCAGAGAGCTGTGTGCATTCTTCTTCCCTTTGCCACATCATATCTCTGTGAGATGGGCTTTTCAGCTGCTGCTTCACTGAAAACAAAGCATGACTTGAGAGTGGCAGTATCAAGCCTGCAACCCCGTTTTGAGAAACTGTGCAATGCAAAACAGGCCCATTGCAGCCACTAATGCAGGGATAAATAGACCTCTTGCCTGTTGGATTTCACTTATTTTCTTTTATTAACAGATTGCAGAGTGGCACATTAATTTTTTCTATCTTTGAGCTTGATACAAATTTTGACACAGCTGCATTTTTATTTTCTTTATTTTTGAGCTTGCTGTTATTTGATGTAGATAGTTTGTATTTAGATACTACTTGTTACTTCAATAAAATTGGAACATTTTAAGATTGTTTCATATTTCATTACCATTATGTTGGGGCGATGGGGACAGGCGGGGCTTGAAAATTCCCCCTTGTCCAAAGTGGGGAATGACAGAAAAAGTTTGAGAACCACTGCTTTAGCGCAACCTCAGCTTGTGTAACTGTATGAGCTCCCTGACCTCCTTCTCTGCTCCTATCCTCTTGGTGTAGGCAGCTTCTTTGAAACACTGCATGCAGACGGCGTGGAGCTTCACCACGCTCTCTGCCAGAGGAACCAGGTTCAGGATGTCTCCGAAAGGCTGAAAGAAGAACAGACATGTTCAAGTTTACATTTTAGAAATAATTCCTGATGTGAACGCAGAACTTCTGACTATAACTACTACCATTGTGATTGTTAACATTTCTGTCAATACCTATATGTGGTCTATGAGTTTATTTCAAACAGAAAATAATCCTTCCTCAATGGTTGTGTAGTCACATCAAATTCATGCACTTCTACAGGTTAAACATTAAAAGTCTCCCTTTCTCAGAGTGTTTCATTCTTGGATGAAGCTATTATCAGAGCTACTTTACTGGGAAATCCTTTGTTCAATTTTGCATTCCTATTGAAAGTTCTCCAACCCAGTGCTAGGGCTGAATGAAATAATTGATTTGCAATAATATCGCGATATGATAAACAAGATTATCTAACCGCAAAGGTCACATGCTGTGGGGGGTGTCTCGCTCTCAGAAGGGCATAGAGGAAGAATCAGTACTAGGTTACAGGTTACTGTGCATAACCTGTTGAACACTGGCCCTTAGGCTGGGCAAAAACTGACAACCAAGGGTCTGGTACCGAAGAGGAGCAGTACGTCACTTGTATGGAATTATTTTGGGTTAAAAAAATAAAAATAAAAAAAAGACGATGCTGCGCTACGTCAGGTGTTGTGCAATTAATTCATTGCTACTGTTGCTACCTCACGAGGTAACACGACAAACCTTTATCAAGACTTTTAAAAAAACATTGCAAAACCATGTATGACAGTTGCATGACTAGCAGGGTGTCTAGTCAGTTGTATTCTATTCTATTCAAGTCAATGAACAAAATTCGAAATTGCACACTGAAATAACGAAGTTTATAGCGAAATATATAATGCCATTTAAGTATAGTGACCAAGCCTGGGTTTACGGCTTTGGTTAGCACGATGGATAAGCAATATTTAATCTCTTCATGCACATATTTCAGCCAGGTTACCATAGCCGAGCTATAAAAACAAAAATGTAGAAACAGAGTTGCAGCAGCGCTAAAAACTGGAGTTTCTTGCAACATTCACTGGTTTGTGGTCAAGTCGTACAGCGGACTGAGTGAATATATATTTTACATACCGGTAATTTAAAAAGTGTATATACACTTGTTTATTTTTGTGTTTATTTGAAAGTTTGATTTACCTATAAAAATTTCAACTGGTTGAAAGAAGTCTTTTGTTCTCCATACTTTTTGGGAGACTCTTTAGTAAGCATGATATTGAGTGACTGTTGATCAGTCAATGTTATTTTAGCATTTTATTTTATTTATTTATTGACTGTCCTGTTAAAATCTGGCAGATTTAAAAGAGTGCAGTCCTATATTTATATATCATGCCTCATAAAACATAAAAAGATGTTAATGAGGTACGACCACAAATTCGTTTTCTTTGGCAGCCTACTGGTTAAGGCAAAGAGCTTGGAATTCTGAGGTTGTGAGTTCGGGCCCCACTCCCATAGTCTGCCACTCTGCGTCTCTGAGCAAGACCCTTAACCCCTGAATGCTCCCTGGGCGCCGCACAATGGCAGCCCACTGCTCCCCAAGGGGATGGATTAAATGCAGAGATAAATTTCTCCAATGTGAGATCAGTAAGGTTCAATTATTAATCATTATCGTAGTAAGCTGTGCTTTAAATAAATCTAAGGATTATTTGTTTAAGATGACTTGATAAATATGAAACTGAAAAAAAAAAAGAAAAATTAGCTCTGATGTGATCTGACCCTCTTACGTAAATAAAAACAGAAAACAGGCCAGGAAAACAGGGATACTGAAAAGCAGAGGAAGTAACGTTACATAGCACCAGAGGAATGTTGACTTAATTACATAAAATCACAAAAATCAAGGCTATTGTGTGTAGAAAATGAGCGCACTGAAACACTGGCTGTTCCTGCTGATTGTTTGGGTTTTCCTTGGATAATGTGTTCATTGTGTTGAAGGTCTTATGACATCTTTTCCTCACAGTGCTGCTCAGTATGAGACACCCACCTTCCTCTGGAAGGTTCCATCCAAGGCAGCTACAATGACCGTCTTCCCTAAATTGGCCATCTCCTCACAAAACTCCACCGTGTCAGGAAACTAGATGGAGGAGACAGATCAGATTAGTTACAGAGAGTTTGCCTCATATATGAGAAATGTCAATCATAAAGGTGACAAATGTAACTGTGAGAAACAATAAGCCAAATATTGCTGTCCATTGAAAGGTCTCAAGGCTCAGTGGTGCGATATTCAGTTGCATTTTCCTTCCCAGATTAAACTATTGCTGTTAACCGTCTATGCTGTTTGGTTTTCTTGCTATAAAAAGTACATCTGTGTCAGTGCTACGGTATTCTTTTTTCCCAAGTCAGCCATCTTTCAAAAGGTTTTGGCGATTTGAACAAAGGAGCAAAATAGGTAATTTGCGCACAAACTTACAAACTGTCCTTCATCGATTCCGATGACGCAGGCTTGCAGCGCTGCAGCTCTAACATCTCCCAGACAGGTGGCCGGCACAGCCTCCATGGTGTTTCTAAAACAACAGATGCAAAGAAAAATGTAGTGAACTAAGGGATATTTTGACATTAATGTACTGGGGGATTGTAATGTTTCCTTTTTAACCTGATAATATTGAGATGTTCATGCAGTCCAGGGGTTATTTGGTGCGGATTGTTTGCTATTCATTCATTCTGTTTACTTTGCCAGTTTTAAATACAGATGCAGCAACGAGATCGGCAGAAATTTACATTTTATTTTATTTTTTTCAACCAACCATCAGCATGTCCTTTTATTAATTTCATCTAGGGCTGCAACTAACGTTTATTTTGCAAATTGATTAATCTGTCGATTATTTTTTTGATTAATAATTTGATAGCAAAAGGTTCCTTAAGGAAGATATTTTACTAAATTTAACCAGGTGAAACTAGAAATTTTGCACTTGAGGTCTGGATAGAGCATATTGACAAGCGAAAGCATTTTTTTTTTCAATCTTAAATGCAAAATGTTTATATATATTCTAACAGTTTTGGTATAATTAAATGGGTTGCTCTGACAGCTAAAGGCAGTCTAACCTGCAATTAAGATTTAATCCATTACTAAATTATTTGATGATCATTTCATTGATCAATTAATCACGATTAATCTGATTAATTTTTGAAGCCCTAATCGTTCTTCAACAGGTAAAGTTTAGGGATATATTCATGCATAAAAGTTACAGTCCTTTAATTTTTTTGTTGATTTCAAGACTTATACCTCTAACAAAGTACGTCAAGGAAATCTAAATATTGGTATTGACCAGAGATGGTCTAATTAGTCACTGGATTTGGTTTGCTTCATAAAGTGGGTTACACTATGGTATACTTTTTAAAAATATTTATGTTATCTAAAAATAAGCATATTTATTCATAACTTCAAAAGGTACTCAGTAACTACAGTAACATCCACCAGAGGTCAGCTTAGACCCATTTCCTGCCAAACTATTTTCATAGGCAGCCAGTGATTTCTGAATGTTAAACTACAAAGACTGATGCTTTCATCTCAGCCTTTTTAAAATAATATTCAACACCCTTTTTACTAGATGTGACAAAAAGTACTGGGCGTGAGTTGAAGCATGGATAGCCTCCAGTATTGAATTAGAATTATGAAGCTTACTTGTCATGTGTGGCAACACCAGAGTCAGAATACCGGATGTCTTTGGCATATTTAACCAGCAGACATTTGTACTGGGCCACCTGAAAACGGCGAACTCTCCTCATCAGCTCAGTGCTGCAAAATAATGATCAAAATAAACAAGCAATAATCTTACTGAGCTCATATTTTACACATAGCAATCCCATTCTATTACTACCAGGGAATCTCACTCACATGATCATGCAACACAAGCAATCTGCAAAGGACAGTGGATCTACTGTAATAGATATAGAAGTGTACTGTGTCTAGATATGGATATTTATAAACCGAGTTGAATTTGGACTAAATTGTCTTGAGATTTCATTGGTTGTGGTTCATTGTGTGAAGCATGTAACTTAACTAAACTTTAAAACAAACTAATGACCCTAAAAACAGGAAAAACACTTATTTGGCATAAAATTGAAACAAGCAACAACTGTGTGCTTCACAAAAGAATGATGTAAAAGTATCAGAGTTGGACAAACAATGCAGAATTGGCGGGATATGAGGTATCATCTCCGAAATGGCAGCTCTGACCATGTTTAAGCTTCACATTGAACACCAATAATGGCTAAAACTGATAGAATACATCAATTAAAGCAATTTAAAGCAGTTACAGGTAAAAACTAGGGAAGAATAACTCACCTTTTGCCTGAAAACATCGGCCCAAATATTATCTAAAAACAAGAAAATGTGAAAAGTTTACTTACAAATAGGAAGTCGTGTTTACCTTTTAAATTTACAGTGAGTTTTATACCCTGTTTATGATGAAATTTACGGTTTTATCCAGAGGCTACCGACCTGAATCTGTCCCCGGGATCTCCTCGGTGAGTTCTGCAGCTTTATCGGACAAACCGGCGAATCTAAGAAGTCCATTTTGATTTAAAAGCACGCTTTATAATAAATTACAATAAATACAAAATAAAATATGGGTATAACTCTTCCTGTTGTTTCTAACAAGAGCTGAATGGAGTGGAAACTTTGAATGCTGCGCGCTAACTCATTTCACGGATATATCCTGTAAATTGACCAATAGCCGTAACCCCACGTGACACTAGCGGCCAATCAGCTTTGCTGCCGCTTACCACGAATCGACCTGCTCGCGCCACTGATGTGACCAATCAGTGCACAGACCGCCTTAGCCTCTATTATTCTTCTTGTTCTTGTTGTTGTTGTTGTTCTTCTTTTTTTTATGGCGATTGGCAAGCAACTTATTGATGTGCATTACCGCCATCTACTGGAATGGAGTTTCTTCGCCTCTGTTTTTTTTTTTTTTTTTTTTTTTTTTTTACAAAACAGAGCTAACGCTTGGTGTTAAAATGAGAACTACTGAACAATGCCTATAAAATCCCTTAGTAAAAAGTAGTTTATTCAAGTATACTAAAAGTGCACTAATTTAATACTTAAAATCAGGCAGTGCATTTATAGTTTACTTATTTTTAAAACTATAGTATCAAGTACACTTGATACTATAGTATCAAGTGTACTTGACTATACTAATGTTTACTTTATTGTTTACTAAAGTATACTTTAAGTATACTATAAGCAACATTTACACTTAAAGTGTGATCATCCATATTTTAATAATCCAAACTTTTATAGGGAATTTATTCAACCAGCACATAATTTATGGGTTGTCTATAAAAGGATTTAAAAGAAAAAAGTAACACAATGAGTAGTATGTCTCTTAATAAACAGGATGTAGAGATGTAAAGAACTGTGAAAATATGGCGGTTGAATCGTTTTGTATAATGAAATAACTTTATATAAATTTATAATTTTAATTTTAAATTATATTAATTTTAAAAATTAGTCCAAACAACATGATAGACTATTCTTGTTTAAAAATTGAAAAAATGTATAAACAGACATTAACAAGATACATAATAGTGACACAAAAGTTGTTGACTAACTGAGAATTACAGTAACATTTTGCAGTTTATACAGATATGCTAATCTTTTGTTTCAGTATTCCTAGGGTTTCCATTAGACCTATGCCTGAGCTTAGCACAAAAGCTGCAGTTCAATCAAACAACAAATATTTTGGACTAAGATAAGATAGACTTTATTGATCTCAAAGGGAAGAAATTCACTTGACGCATCGGCTCAATATTTAAAGAAGTTAAGAACTCTAATCTCTGATTGTTTTAGTGAAAAGCTATTATATTTTAGAAGACAATCCGAACCAGTGATCTTATTGAGTTGTTTAAAAAGGGCCATAAAAAATACAACATGAACAAACAGAATACTTAGTCAAAGCCGGTTAACAGAACAAATCGAAGCAACAACAGATACGCTGTTTAGAGCTAATGGGAAGATGGGTGGACCTTAATACATGGGATACAAATACAGAAAGAAAAAAACGCAGCTTGGACTAAAAAAGAAGCAATTCTGGAGGAGAGGTTCACTCCCCAACAGGACAGCGATTGTAAACATTGTACAAAAGACAAATGGTAAGACTTAGATCATGGTGTATTTATGTGTAAGGTAAGTGTATGGCCTGGTCAGTGTTCACATATATATCCCCCTGGAAATTTGTGGTTAAAAAAACAAATCTGATGTTCACAGATGCTCTGGAAAATGAATTATCTTAAACATCCTTGTGAAAAAGAATGTTTAGAAATCACTGGAAAAGACATAACACACTGAATAACGCTGTTGTGACAAAACATGAAATAGTTTACAGAGTGTGAACAATTTCTTTGCTAGAACTCATACTCCTGCTCTTACATTACAGCCTCAGGTCCTGAAGTGAAGGCTATATATTAAGGAGAGAACAGAAATCTGCAATCATTTGTTCCTCTTTCATTTCCTCTTCCATCTGTTGACCAACTCCAGCGTCCCCCAAGGCTGTAAAACATTAAGCCAACTTGCTGAGGGTGTTACACAGCAGATTAAACACTGAATGCCATGTTTACATAGTGAGCATCAGCGGTCTAAAGTTCAGATCTTCAACACATGGCGGTTGAAATTGTTTCCTTTCCTAGCAGTGAGCTAAGCCTTTCTGTCAAACAAAATGATGCACTGGAGGGAAATGCAGAGAGACGTAAGAGTTTCACTTTAAAGATTTTTCCTTTAATGTTTCATGTTTGTATGATAACTGGACTAAAATGTAAAGATCACGCAAAACTAGAGACGTTGAAATCACTGAGTGTGATTTGACATTGGGTTTGTAGTTAATATAAGCACGTAAAGTCTTTTGTTTTGATTTGATCTGCTGCAATGGCCACTGAGCAATCTAGTCTATGAACAGAGTAGATTAATGAGCTCTGCTCATAGCAGTCAAAATCCGGCGTTTCGCTTAGGGTGTATATTAGCCTTTAAAAGATTAACGATTAGAATGTCATGTGACTCGGGGTTCAATGAACTTTTATATTTACAATAGTGATCAACTTAAATCATTCTTTCAGAAAAAAAGGAAAAAGAAATGGAAAAAAAAAATTTAATGTCTGAAAGAAATATTAGATCATTTTAAATGCATATACTTTTTATGTTATTTGCAATGATTATATATTTCTTGTGTAAATATTAATTAAATATTATCAAATAAAATAACTTTTCCTCAGTCCTTCATAGTCCAACCCTGATAAATGGATCAGAAAATCAGCTTGTCCCATGAATGTTTTTCTGAGATAGAAGTTTGTTTCTTTGCTGCTATTGGAAATCAAACCTCCATGCACAAAGCTTCATCCGCTGCTGCCATTCCCAACCATGTTCTGCTCCGGTGGCAATTAGCTCAATAGGAGATAACCCTTTCATTTTTCAAAAGTTTTATTTTGTATTTTTGCACTACAGCTTCCTTTAGAACAGCCAAAATTCTCCCCTCTGAGGTTCTTTATTATTTAATAAATTGTGTATTTGAGCGATCTAGTTCGTCTTCATCAACCTTAAAAATATTAACTTATGCTATTGTTCATTTTAGCAGCATAGACACAATGCACATTGTAAACCAATAGAGCAAATGTCAACACTTGGCTACAACTATTGTCACGCACCACTTTTAAGAACTGACAAAAATGGGAAACAATAATTTATTTTCTCCCAATTATGCCAAGGAAGAGATGATCAGCCAGTCAAAGAGAAGTGTGGATCAATGCTGCCTGTTCCGGTCTGGTCTGAAGGCCAAATCAAGCAGGTCCAGTGACTGACAGATGTCAGTATTTAACAGCCACCAGGTGCTTTCAATTAGCAGCCCCTCTACCTGCTTCCTGAAAAGAACAAAACCAAACAGTGAAATGGCGACACCTACTGGACAGTAGGGGATCGTCACACTATGGTTTGAAGACATTATTATTAGTAGTAGTAATAGTAATAGTAGTTGTTGTTGTAGACTTAGAATACAGGTCCTTCTCAAAATATTAGCATATTGTGATTAATTATGCTAATTTTGTGAGATAGGAATTTTGGGTTTTCATGAGCTGTATGCCAAACTCATCCGTATTAAGATAATAAAATGCCAGAAACATTTCAGCAAGTTTGCAATGAATCTAAAATATATGAATGTTCAAGCTTTATCATTACATTATGGAAAATAATATGCTAATATGCTAATATTATTTTGAGATGGAGCTGTGTAACTGATACCTGCAGTTGACCAGAGATGTCAGCAGAGGGCGCTGTCCCCTGTGTTTATCCCTCGCCGCTGGTCGCGTGCCAGCTCGAATGGCGGCGGGGCTGCTCTCAGAGTTGTGTCTCTCTGTCAACCAGGAGCTGGAGAAGCAGTACTCGCCTAGCAGGTGGTCCCACAGGATGGCGGCTGACGACGTGATCAAAGCCCACGTTAAGGCTCTGAAGGAAGGTCTGTTTGTCTGGAGGTGACGCGGTGAATTAGTTCTATTTACTGAAAGTCTGGTTTTCAGGCCACAGGAGAACCGGTGTGTTGTTTGTTGTCGATCCAAATCTGTGAGCCCAGTCATTGAGTTTGAGTGGATCTGGACATTTTAAGCTACTTGTGCTCTTTTTTTTTTTAGATAATGGATTAATTAGTTTGAAACGGGTTGTTTTAAGCAAAGCTAGTTATTTTTACCTAAACTTGTTGAGGTTTGTTCTTTAACAAATCACATGACAGGAACTAATTGTGGCCTAAAGTTGGATTTAAAGGTTTTCCACATTGATATGTCGCATTCAAGATACTAATGAGATACATTTCAGTAACATATGACTATGTTATGTTGTTTATTATCCAATTCACAATCACATATGTCTTATTGTCAAATAAATTAATTAAATTAGCTTTTGCTTTAGATTGTAAAAGTTCTTTTTTTTTTTTTTTTTTTTTGTTCCAAGCTGTTAGGAAATAAAGAGCACAGCTTTATGGGGGCAATAATTTGAAAAGATCTTAAAGGTTTTCAAGGTGGGTTCCTGGATACTAGTTCCTCTCTACAGCTTCTTACAGGGGTCCCCTGGTCCTACAGGTGCTGGTCATAAAATTAGAATATCATGAAAAAGTAGATTGATTTCAGTAATTCCATTTAAAAAGTGAAACTTGTATATTATATTCATACATTACATACAAACTCATATATTTCAGATGTTTATTTTGTTTAATTTTGATTACAAATGACAACAAATGAAAATCTCAAATTCATCATATCAGAAAATTAGAATATTACTGAAGACCAATAAAAACAAAGGATTTATAGAAATGTTGGCCAACTGAAAAGTATGAACATGAAAAGTATGAGCATGTACAGCACTCAGTATTTAGTTGGGCCTCCTTTGGCCTGTATTACTGCAGCAATGCCGCGTGGCATGGAGTCGATCAGTCTGTGGCACTGCTCAGGTGTTATGATAGCCCAGGTTGCTCTAATGGTGGCTTTTAGCTCTTCTGAATTGTTGGGTCTGGTGTACTGCATCTTCTTCTTCACAATACCCCATAGATTTTCTATGGGGTTAAGGTCAGGAGAGTTTGCTGGCCAATTAAGAACAGGGATACCATGGTCCTTCAACCAGGTACTGGTAGCTTTGGCACTGTGTGCAGGTGCCAAGTCCTGTTGGAAAATGAA